AGGGATGCGAGGTCGATAGTCTAGCAAATACGGCATGCGTTTACAATGAGTGCCGCCCTTCCCGATCGCCAGGCAATAGGTTCGCTGGACAAGGCCAATGCTGATGTCGAGGCCTTGGAGCGATTGGCTTCCTTCCTAGGCACTCTGTTCGTCAAGAACAAGATCACAGAGACGGACGAGAAGGTCCTGGCAGCAGCGGCAAAGAGAAGGCCCAAGCTTAAGGGTAAGCTAGTGAATACAGTAGTCACAGGACGGTCGAACGTTCTGAGGGGTCCTCGCAGCGTGGACGTGCTGTCTGCTGTGGTTGATGGTACCTTGTTGTCCGATCTTGAAAAGGACGGCGACCCCTAAAACCATCGGGGATCGCTCTTGAGACGGCAGTGTGCTAAGCGTATCACCGGGTACATGTCTCCGAGACCTCCTACGCGTTACAGCGCATGTCCAAAGTCCTTCGCCTTGCACGCCCCTTGCCTCATCAAACAGACGTGGGGTCCGTGAGGGCGGGCTGCAGCGCTGGACAGGTGCTGTCGCTGGCGGGGGGAGACAAGGCAAGCGCCGACACGCAAGAGCTGGCTCTCAAGCTCTTGTCGGGGGAGACGCTGGACGAGGAAGAGGCCTACCGGCTAGGGAAGCGCATCTTCGACGTACAGCAGCCTTCGACTGTGCTGTGGTGAGTCACATACATAGTGCGTGTTCGGCATCGTAGCGTGGCGCACTCAGGAAACACCTGTGCCGCTGCGCTCTTGGGATTGCCGGAGGCTGTAGAAGATGCCGCACCCCCTCGACCGATTTTCCGATTTTCAAGGATCGGCTGCTCCGTGACGAAGATTATACCAAAACATAACGATTACATTTTCGTAATTTTTTAAACGATGCAGTAGTTCAAACGCCGATAATTTTCGGCACCGCCAACCTGGCACCCTGGGCTTCAAATATTTTTGGCCCAGGAGGTGTGGTATCACATGGTACCTCCGGTATCCCTAGCCCCTCAAGAGGTGGCCGAAACTCTTTCAGACCTCGTGTTTGGTGGCTGAGTCGCTCTCTGACTCTCTGGCTTGCGTTTTGCTGTGATGGCCGTGCGTGCACGAGATGTTGTCGCGTGCCCCTTTCCGAAACTCACAAAAGAGCCATGCAGGTGGGCTGCGCTCTCCACCTTGCATGGTGGTGTGTGGAACGGAGCGTTTCGATGATGGCAAGGGGTATGCATACCCTACTCGACCGGGACACGATAACCTCTGATCCTCCAACAACAAGCGCGTCATGTCAGCCAATCAGAGCACGTCACCCTATCCCTTGCTCCTGTACGTCTACGGCTTGATGCCAGCCTCTGTGTCCAGATCCTGCGGGTCAGATACGAATCTCCTTCGGAATGGCGAGGGCTGATCAAGGCGCAGCAGGAGACCTTGCGGGTGGAACGGTTCAACCCTCAGGTGGTCTCGGACGCGTATCAGAGAGGGAAAGAGTCTGGGAACAATCCCCGGCTTGTCGTCCAGGTGCGGTACTGCTGTAGAGCTCGATCGTGCGGTACATTGGTCGTTAGTGTTATCTGGCATCCTGCATTGTGTAACGGCCTGTATGCTCTTCCAGTGTTCCCCTTGACACAGCTGCCGACTGATACGGTGCTGCTGCCGGTGTCGTGTTGACTCCGAAAAGCGAAAGTGTACCAACGGTTTCGACTGGCCCGTCAGTGCCGCTTTCGGTTGAGCTTTTTCTTGCCACGCTAGCGCTCGGCATGACTTCCACAGCACTCTGTTGGCCGGAATCGCTCAAATACAGTTTTTCTTTATATTTATTGGGTGATTTCTGGTCCTTGTGTGAGCGGAATGCCGCGGGTGTGGTGGTTCAGCGTGGTACTAGAGTAGCTCGAGTGTCAGCAGCCTCACGTACTCGGCGGCATCTGTTTATCTCCGTGGCAACAGCGGCACATACGTTGTGGCACCACGGCACCCCCATTTCATACAGCGGTGCCGGTGCGGAGCTCTTCCAGAGAGTCTCATGTAGAAGTACGTTAATTGTTCGGAATTATGTGGTGGTCGTCGTCGGTGTTGTTGTTGTCTTCATTCACATGCTCTCAGTACCTTCAAATACCCGTACTTGTACCGCCAACTGACGCGGACGCTTCCGACGTTACTAACGGGCCAAGTAGCCCAAAAGGGGTACAGCAGTATGCCGGTACACTGTTGTGGAAACGGGCATGGATCAATGTGACTGACGTCTTGCCGTGACTCCTTCCTGACGACAGCTGGCCGAACCATTCGACGGTATGGACCGGGGGGAGTTGCTGACGCCCTTGCTGGCACAGCACCTGCAAAGCAAGTTCAACGTGGTGGCAGTGTCGCAGTGCGGCAGGTCCTCCGGTCCGAAGTACGGCCAAAACTTGCTCGACATCGCCACCGGCATGACTTCCCTGAGCACCCCCTTCGTCCACTCCAACTCGGTGAGTGCTGCAAGGCTTGCGAGATGTTTGTTGCCATAGGGATGGGCACCCCTTTCGTACACTCCAGCCAGGCGAGGGGTTATAGGTCAGGTCGATTTTTCTTTGCGGCCCTTTCGTCTCGATCGAGTGCTGTCTAGCGAAGTCCAATCCCTCCGTTGGTTCGGTTCGCCGTAAGCGCCAAGAGGGTTGAACTGAAGGCAGTGGCTGCAGTCTCCCGCTGCCAACCCTCATCAATCAACATATCCTTCGCTCAGGGTACTTCCAGTTACTTGTTTTTTCATGAACCTCGGGGATGTTGTTGGATGTGCAGCCCTGACTGATGAACCTATCCATGAACAACGGTGCCGCCATACTAGGGTTACCAAGCTTGAGGGGCTAACCATAAGCAGCCGTGGCGTCAGCCTCCTCGTGAGTAGTTCATCAACCGTGCGTGATGAGATTATTCCTCGCGGTGTAATTTGTATTAGGACATCGAGCGTGACGTCGTGTTGTCAGCCTGCTCGTGAATAGTTCATCAACCTTGCGTGATGTGATTGTTCTGCGCGGTGTCATCCGTTCACTGCTATATAATAATATAATACTATAATAATATAATAGTATGAGACGGTTGTCTCCAGGTTCGCGTGTGAGCGAGTTCCCGTTGGGATGTGTGGTGTGGATACACACCGGTTCAACCTCTGGTGGAGAGGCTGACGAGTACGGATAGTTGTGTTGTGAGTCAAGGGGGGGAGCAACCTCATCTGACGTCACAATCTACCACAGTCTGAGGTGGCATTCACAATAATATAATAATATAATAATATAATAATATAATAATGTAATAATGTAATAATGTATTTTGTAATAATGTAAGGACATCGAGCGTGACGTGGAGGTCGGAAACGGCGGCATCGACCCGCCAGAATTTGGCTGGTACGTCGACCAGCAGGAGATCAGCTTGGAGCTGGACGCGTGGGTGGACCTCCGGAGAAATATCATCAAGAGGCCGTTCCTGGCCACGTCGGAGAAGTTCATCAACACTTGCGGGTGAGAGGCAGCAAGAAGGAACCGTGCTGCTCTATTGGTTGTCATGTGCATGTGTACGAGTTGGACATTTTTTGTAGGGTGATTTCCTTTCCACATTTTAAGAGAGTGGGGCTGCTCTGCCCCGCTTACGACAACGCCGCTACTGTAGCACAACTAGCGCAAACTAGGGAATGGGCGGGGCAGGGCAGTGACTAGACGCAATTGATCCATACTTCATCCAAGATAACGTCTATTTGTTGCCAGCATCATCGGTCGTCCCATGGGCTGTAGGCAGAGCTATCAATCCGATCGGTGTGGGCTTGACAGACCCCAACTCACCACCCACCTATCTCCTGCCTCCCATTTAAATTCCAAGAGACGATGTCTTTGGTCTTTTTTAGTGTGCTGCTTCACCGTGGTATGCGTGTCACACGCTGACTCCACCACTCCCTCCCCCGCCCCCGCTTCAGCTCCCCGACTCTCAAAATCGAATTGCACATGGAAGCGCTGCTGTACCTCAGGGTGATGTTATTACGCCCGTTGCCTCCAGATTGGAAGAAGTTGACCGTATCTTGGCCCTGACGCTTCCGACTTGTTTGGTGTTTTTAGAGCCGCTGTTACCACCAATGCACAACGGTTTGTACACGTCTTTCAATAGACCCGTGTGCAGCCAGTCTGGATCGCTCGAAATCCGAGCCCTAAGGTGCATCTTTTTCACCAGCGGACGGCCGTCTGATGTTTGCCCCGGTGCGTTGCCGTTTCCCCCACGTTTGTTTTTGTCCTCCTGTGTCTCCCGTTCACAGTGCTTCCGTGTTGGTGGCGAGCGCTTTCCATCCGTCCTACGCGGAAAAGATGATGACCTGCGCGGAAACGGCCACGGACTTCAAGGGTTGCATGGTCGTCAGAAAGGGGCTAGAGGGTGAGTCCGTACAACGCTACAGCAAGGTTGTGGCGGCTCCGGTTTAAGCGAGGTTCTTGACGTGACAAGCCGAAATTAAACACTCTCTCGAAACCCGGGTTGCTCTTGAACCGTATTATTCCGTATTTAATACGGAGTACCATTTGTTTTGGTCATGGCCGGGACAGGCCACCTTACATCCTCCTAATAATCTGTGCTTTCCCTTCTACAGCAAGCTCTCTCAAACACCGTAGCGGCTAGTGGTGCTGTAGACCACGGTGAACCGCTGCAAGGGGTTGGAGATTTTTACAAGTATCGTGCGCCCGGGGATACGAAGGGGGGGGGGGGGGCGTACTCTTTTGTTTTGCATGCCTTAGCTTGACCACGCGTCCTCGAGAGAATGGAGCACCGATGGCCTATGTCCCCGGTTCTAAATTTGACCTTCAGCATTTGTCCCTGCATCCATTGGTCCATGTAGGTACTCCTTGAACCCTATTCCTTCTTTCAACATTCCGTACACTTCTAGACCCTCCTTATCCTCGGTTTCGTTCCTTAGATTATGTTCTTCTCTCTCTGCACAAGCTACAGATATCTTCTCCTTGAACCCCTGTAGACCCTCCGCTTCCAGCGTTCATCTTCGTCGATTTCGAACCCCTTCCATACGTCCGCTACAACCTTGACCCATTCAGTGGGTTGTCCACCCCTCTTCTTGTTTACCTACTTCGCCCCCCATACTATTCTCGGCAACCTCTCCTCTCCCACCCCGCACATGCGATACTGCCATGCCAGCTTCCTTGCGTCTCTTCCCGACCGTAGGGATTGGATCCCCAATTCTGCCCTGACGGCTGCATCACGTAGGGGGTGGCGTTGACGCAAGGCTGTTTCGCCGAGTGTAGCGAGGGGATCGGATCGTGAAGATCGCCTGAACGAGCCGTGAAGTACGGTTAAAACAACACTATGATTATGATATTTCCCGTAAGCACTACTTTGTACATGACTCAACACCGTAGGGGTCCCGACACAGTGCCGGGGCCCGGTTTAGTGCCGGTGGTTTAGACTGGCACACCTTGAATCACCAAGTCATTTTGTGCTTGTACTTTAAACAATGCCGGTGGGTGTCCGGTAGATATATAGCTCAATCCCGCTTGTAAGTTTGTTGGAGTGTGCTAGGGCGAAATCGGAGCAGCTCAGACCCCGTCGGCTGTGACCATCTCCCCAACGTTGTTGTACCATGTTAGGGTCGCTGGGCTTTGGGCTGGCGCGGGAAACTGAGATCGTGTGCGGAGTGCGAAAAGACGACGGTTCATTCGAGAAGATGTCCTACACCTTCGCTGCCAAGGACATGGGCTGGGAGAAGGAGGTAAGGGTAAGGGGTTTGCCGCTAAAGAGGCTTGGGGTCACCAGCGGAAGAGGCGGGAAAAGGGGGCAATGTACGCTATAGGCTGCGGAACAACAGTCAGAGAGCTACCGGATGCTGTGCAGCATCGACGAGACCCATGGCGTGCAGCTCGCTCTTTTGTTATTCCACGCTGTTGATTCTGCGGACGGATGCAACCCATCATGACACGGCGTTGATTTGATGTCAGCTGCTGTCCCCCCTCACGTTTCCGTCCATCGCTCAGGGGGATCCGATGGGAGCAAAAGACGCAAAGGAGACGATAGGCAACATCAAGTCCTTCTCGCTCGAAGGTTCTTCTGGGGACGAATACTTCGACAAGAGGTGCGGACTTGCCACGCCGGCCTTAGTCTATGTAGACACATCACTGGTACGATAAATACGTTCACATATGGATCGTTGTGTCTTGTCGCAATTTGCCTCCTATTTGGTGTGTCTAACGGTCCGGATGCTAGACTATATTAGTCAGTCTTGCTTCGTCTTGGCACATGAACATCCTCAGTTACGGTAGTTGACGAAACACTTTATGTACCCGTTCGAGACAAGGTCCGAATCGCGTGCATGTGTGGAATTCGTTACAGCGAGTGAACGTCGAAGTCTTTTCAGCGAGTCAGTGTTGAGTGCTGAGGAAATGCCCATGGATGCCGGACAATTTTTCTTCTTACTCCGTTTCGTCGCACGCATCATGTTTGTGGCATGGTTTTTCCCTCTGGGACATGTGACGACATGCCGCCCGGGTATGCATTTGTGCATGTTTTCACGGTAGGCCGCCCATTTTCAGTATCACTTCAATGTCACGCGATCGTTCGTTTGATGCCGCTCCGCATTGTGCGCTACAAAGACGGCGAAATTTCATCAACGCGTATGACACAGGGTTCAACAAGGACGAAAGTTCTCCCAGCAAAGTCACGATCCGTGTCGAATCTGATAACACATTGCTTTCCTTCCTGTTCAATTTTACGAAGGGTAGGGCTAGCACTAATTATCGCGGCGGGATCAACTACCTCCCTGCTTCCAAGTCTCGGTTGCTAAACCATGCACCTGTTTTCCAATGTCGTTTCCCAGGGTCAAGCTTTCAAGTGCTGGGCTGGAGGTTGGCATGGAGTGGATAATGGCAAGGCTGAAATCATAGTGGAAAAACGGGCTCCACAGCATTACTTTAGAAACAGCAGCCTTCCCAAAGAGGTTGTGCAAACTCGAGCGGCTTGGGACCGCACGGCTTACCCAATAGACGAAGCTCACAGTAGTAGTACAGGGGGAATGCCGTACGATGGGAAGAATAGCACAGGGGAGGTTTATTTGAGGTGGTAATGGCATGAGACTGCTGTTCTGGTTCTCCATAGACCTTTTCCATGAAGATCTTTTTTAGTGGCTGTTTGCCCCTCTTATTTGGCATCCCGCAGACCGCAAAGCGTTTGGAGTACCCCCTGGTTTCGTTCCTTTGGGCTTTGTGGGAAATGTGGCCACGAGTCTTGTGGGCACAGAAACGTGTAATTGTGAGAGAACTGGTGGGCATTGTACAGCAAAATTACTCTCAAGTACGTTGTTAGCGTGTGGGTGTGTATTCATACCTCCGGAGACACTTTCAGACTTTTGAGGTATGCATACATGGGTGCATGCCCAGGTGCCTTAACCTATCGTTGCTTGGTGAGGTGATTCATTCTCTGGGTTGGCGTCGGGCACATCCGCCGGAGGCTTGAGCAGTACAGAGCTGCTGTGTTGTACTACACTTCAACTTCCGTTTTCGGTTGAAAATGGTCGCGTTCTCCCGGATACTACTGTAACAGCATTGAGAGAGCATCCCCCGGGTACGCATAAAGCAACTGTAGTGAGGTGGAGTGGACGTGGAGCCAAAGAATCGTCCGGTCGTACTTCTGTTCTTCTTGAAAGCAGTTGTGTCCAGGTCGTCCCAAGGTGGTGGACAGCTGACAACAATGTGTGACAACGTGGTGGCCACCAACCTTGAGCCAAAAGCTACACTACTAACACTGTAGCTCAGAACAACCAGCAAGATTCGGGTTCGCTGGGACAACTAATAACTGTCTCGAACAGGGTGGGTCCCCAAGGTTGGCTGCTACTACAAATATGAACACGTGAACGAGTAGATGTTCGTCTACATAAACCATAGCCGGGAGATAAGATGCAGCACAGACAGGGCGATGTCTTCATCATGCACATCTACGCATATATATGTATGTGAAGACGGTGGTCCAAAGCAGAGAAGGAGGGGGAGAGGGAGCTGCAGCTGCAGCCTACCCGAAAAACGTGTAGAAGGTTCGACTTTCTGGTGTATGGCAAGATGGCAAGCTCACGCACTATATTGTATGACTGCCGTTGGAGTGGCGAAGATTTGCACACAAACACACCGACGATTCCAAGATTCTATTTACGATACATAGATGGGTAGCTACATGTAGGCCAGCTTCGGAGGAGAGAGAGCCAGTGGGGGGCTCCGCGAATCGACGTGCGGCGAAATAGTTTTTAATCCCGCAAATCTACCCGCCTCTGCACTCCCTCTGCACGGATCCGCGGGGTACAAGGTGTGCGTCTCGCGTCTCGCATCATCCCCCCTCTCCTCCTATCTCTAGCCACGCTGCGCACCCATGTTTAGCGTACTTAAAACCTGCGACAGGTGCAGCTTCCTAAAAAGGAAATGCGACGGTTCAACTCCGTGCAGGTAAGCTGTGTGCGTCTCTCGTCTCTCGGAGTTCACGCCTCCTACATATTGCAGCAGTAGTAGTAGTAGAAACGATGGATGGTTCTATGCCATACTGCTTTTTCTGCTGAATGTTTTTCACCATTGAACTTCTGCTTTCGGAGCGCTTCTATTGAGAGGTTCCATCGGGCTCCGACATGTTTAGTGCTGTTCGTACTCGTGTATGTAAGCAAATGTAAGCAAGCGCAAGGGGTCTACGCGAACAAAACTTCCAGACACATGGGCCACCCGGCCAAACCCCCGGAGGGGAACGAACTCCGAAAAGTTACCATGAATCGTCAAAAATTTGCGATGAGGTTGCAGCGGTAGATGGATGGTAAACGTGCCTCACTCTCGTTACCCGTTCTGCATCCATCTACCTCCTCGTCATCGATGCCGGCCCACACTCACCCAGCCGTGCTACCACAGCAGCCTAGTTCGCGTAGCGCCTAATATTATTGCTGGACGGCTAGACTATATCTACTGATGATGGAGGGCGAGACCTGAGAGCCACCACCATTTGTTTGTTGTGTCATATGTTGTGCGCAGACAGGTTATGTTCACTTTCTAAAAAATAGATGTATTGTGATATGGGCGTGTAATTTTTGTTGATTATTTTTCAGGTTTGGGGAGTGCATAATATAAAGATATATTGTGATATGGATGTGTTTATTTTTATTAATTATTCTTCAGGTTTGGGGAGTACACAATAATGGCAAGATATATTGTGATATGGGTGTTTTTATTTTTATTTATTATTTATTATTTTTCAGGTTTGGGGAGTACATATATCTACGAAGTACAGCGGTAGTAATATATAGTAGTATCGATCAAAGCTCGAAATCAGTCCAATTCAATTGGAACAAGTCATTGACCAGCTTTCACATTGAACCACCTGCCTTGCACACTTGCCCTTGCCGCCTCCTCTATCTGCTGTAGAACTGCACAACAGGGAACATAGTCTCGCAAATCTACTCGTAGCCTTGGTCTTGTTGTAGGGTTACGTTTGAGTTGACTAATCGGCCGCACGGACGGGCGACTGTTGGGCTAAACCGGCTGCTCCTGGGGTATGCATGCGAAGATTGCGATCATGACTCTGTAGTGTGCGGGGTGTCTGCCATCTCTCGGGGATCTCCCACAGCTCCACAGCCCCAGCAGCGCCAGCGGTGATGCACACCATGCGAGAACGGGACGCCAGAGCACCGACGCCTGGGCAGAAAACCCGGGGATACATGGGTATATGCCCCCCCCCCCCCAAATGACACCGGAGCGCCGATGCCTCGGCGGAAAAACCAGGGACACATGGGTATACCCCCCCCCCCCCCCCAAATGACCCCGATTTTCGATTAGTAGGCCTATGTGTCTTGAATTTTTTCACGTATACCCTTGGTAAGCGCAAAAAAAGTAGACAAGTTCTGTAAATTATTCTGACCGTGCTGCAGGCTGACCAATCACAGGTCTGTGTGGGCGCGTGTGTGTGTTTTGAACATGTGTACACGTATGTGCGCATCGAACGCGCACATTTTGCCGGCTGACCAATGAAAACACGTCAGTCTTGTATTTCATGCATGCATACCGGGATAACAAACGAAAACTCGAACGAACATGTTCTAAACAAATCTATGCCAGTGTTTGTCTTGTAGAAGGGGAGAAGCCCCATGATAAGAATCCCTAAATAGCTGTCCGACTTCGCTTCGCTCTGGAGCGGTTGCTACCGCTCTATCTTCATCATAGTCATCCCTGGAACTCTTTGAGACCCCTCTCTATTTCCACCGCCGTTGCTCTGAAGGGTTCAAGTATCAAAAGCCTTCGACCACTCTCTTCCACACCATGATCTCTAACTCTGGTTCAATCTTTTTGCAAATTCTCGCAAAGTGGTGGGTACCCGTCCTTCACCTTGCTACAGTATCCGTTGGGAACCCGCTGACGTTTGCCATCCGCATGGTGCTGGTGGGTTCATGAGCTACAGTACTGTAGAAGTCTCACCTCGCTAACTCCAATACTTCCAATAGCAGGCTCGAGTCCGCCTACATAGAGAGAACCCGAGCCAGATCAAATAAAAACCGTCTCCAATCTTATTCCCGAATTATTTCTTTTGCCGACGGACCTCCGCCTCATGGTGTACTCTGCTGCGCTGTTCGCCTCCTGAGCGTGGTGATTTGACGTTGCTTCAAAGAACCAAATCGAAATTAGACTCTTTCGGACTTGAATTTTTTCCAGATTAAGGACACAGATTTTGAGTTAAGCCGTCGTTCCGAGGATCGTTCGTGACAGTCTCGCCAGAACCCACGATAAGGAAAATATTTTCCAGATTAAGAGCGGAGGGAGGCTCGTTTTGTGGAAAACTGTTCCCGATTTCCCGATTTAGCGACATTCTTCGATGTATCACATCAGGCGCCACACACACGCACACAAAGCAGTCCGCACGGCCAAAGAGAAGGCCAGCGCCCAGCGAAAGGCCCTGGAGTTGGCGCGCCACCAACACAAGACGGGGGAGGCTTCACGGCCAGAAAGCCAAGTTAGGGTTGTTGCGCGGCTTGAGGTCAGCAACACGCGCCCGTCACACACAGAGGTTGAGGCAAGGGGGAAGAAGAGCGCCGGAACCGCGGAGACAACAGCCGACAACGTGGAGGAGGTGGCAGCACCGCCTGCAAAGAGCAGAGAGGAGGAAGAGCACGTAGTTGCCTCCTGGTGTAGACGGGCGCGTCCTTTCCCGCGCAAGAGTGTTCTCTGCTTCTGCTGGGGAGAGCGTTTGACTTGGGTGTGCCCGCCCGGTCCCAAGAACCCTCTCCCGAACGCTTGAAGTGCGGCATAGCTCTTCGTTCAGAGGCTGCCGGCCAGTATGTGTACTCCCTGTCTCCGTGCTGGTGCGAGTGCGAGTGCGGGGGCAACACAGACACGCACACGCATGCATACACACACACTCGACAGCAGTGGGATCGAGCGCTGTCATCAGGGTGCAGCTGTCACGCTGTCACGCAGCGCACCGCAAAGCAACAGCAGTACACCTGCGAACAGGGGAAGTTCGTTGGGTGGGATAGGAGGACTGTTGCCCCACAGCCAATCTACAAATAGTTACTTGCATGAAGTTTCCAGGAAATTTTCTTATCTCAAAATCTTCTTCCCTAAATGGAAAACTTTGGACCCCCCAGTCCGAATTTGTGTATTAGAGTCAAAACAAATTTTGATTATGTTTTTTTTCTACTATTGTATTCGGCGAGGGATGCGCCTCAGCCATCCCTTTTATGGCACCTAGTGAAACATTGACACATACGCGCGCACCTACGCTGAGAGTTGGGTCTTTATATTGGTCAGCTTGTCGGAGCGGTCGATGCTGCAATGATAAAGACACACACGTAGGCGGAGGGGGTCGACACGAAGGCGAGAAGTCTAGACAAGAGAAGCCTCGGTCGATGCGTGCACTCATTTGCTCTCCATCATCTGCTGTACTGCCGTTTCCGGCTTTTCACCCGGAGGATATCCTCTACAGTAGCAGCCTCTCCCATGGCGGTTCCCAGGTCATTGCCTTGACAAGCGCCTTCTATTTGGCAGCCACACTGAGAATGTCGTCTTTTCATCTGCCAGCCGGTTAGCGCGGTCGTGCTTAAGCTAATAATAACGACTTTCGCACAACCCCCCCACGTCCAGTACGGCGTCTGTTGTGCGGTCTAACGTCACGTCGCAATCAACGCCCCTCCTTGCACAAGGCGCTGCGTGGGCATGGGCATGGAAGACGGATGCACTTACAGCAGGCGGAGAGCGCGTACCTGCAAGCCCTACCAAAAAAGAAGATCGCCTACTGACACGGAGGGAGTGACCAAGGCGGAAGCAAGACATCGTGGATCCCAAGACGTGGCTATCAAGAGGTGATTTTGCTCCATTCAATTGTTCAATCGGGAAGAATGACCCCAGGGCATATGGTTCAGGGGAATCACGTCCGGGGGGCGGCTTGTGATTGTTGCCGGTTGAGGGACGACAGCCTTGAACCGTGGCCCTGGGCCCTGCCATGACGTGAAGAAGCTAGCCATAATGCTCGATTTTGGGTGAACGCACTCATCGAGTCTGTCAACCAAATCAGGTGTACAATATAATAGGCAAGTCTGCTGCGGCGAGGAACACGCGTGTAGCGAACAACCAAACCGGCCTCCATATCTCTGCCCCTTGATCTTGCAATAGTTTGTGTGGTAGCCAATATTCGTAGAGTTGAGTCTCTTGGCCCTTAGGAGTGAGCTTGGACTGGTGATAGAAGAGCGCTAAACGTGAGGCAACAGCAGCGGCACGGGCTTGTGTGTACCTGTGTAACTCTAATCATTGAATACCAGGAACTACAGTGGTTCCCGCTGTTGTCGTTGTTGTTATTGTTGTTGTTATTGTTGGTGTGCGGGCGCAGGGGGAAGTACCAAGAGCTAACATAGCAATCGCCTAGACGGGATGTAACTCAGTAGTTTGAGCGCAGTTGCTTGGTAGGGAGGGAGAGCCAAAGGTAGGGTCTGAGTCAGTGAGAATCGGGCTCGCGACCGGAAGGCTGCAGGGCCTCCCAAACATGGTTGTGAGTTGATCGTTTCAGCGGCCACTTAGGTGGTACAATAGAGTCACGAGTTTTCCTCACAGCCTTTGCTACCCTTCACCCTCAACACGTTAGCACCTAGCACGCTGGGAGTCAGAACCCCTTTGACATAAGTATACACCAAAGAGGGAGCGTAACGTGGAGTGTCCTCCCGCCACAGGGTTAGCGAGCTTGATCCATGGAGAACCCATCCGACGACTGTGTTCTGTTGGACCAGGTTCAGGTTGAGAGCTTCTCCAGCGACCGGCCTGGTGGGCATGCAGGAGAACTCCTTCCTCACCAGCTTCTTTAGCTCGGTTGGATTTCTGCCACTCACGACCGGAAGGTGCTTTTCAAGAAGCATCCCCTTCTGCGCGATGCTGAGAAATGTCGATTGTTCTCAGTGTGAGATGTGCTACTTGTTGCCGGAAGGTTTGGTCGTATGTAAGTGAGAGACGCGTAGGCTTGGTTTCGCGTCATTCGTCTGGGTTGATGCATTTCTGCGGCGAAAGACCGCGCCAAGGCTGTCTCTCGCTCCTGTTGCTGAGGCGAATCCTCGTGAGATTGAACGATGGAGCCGGAGGCGGACAGCACTTATTTCGGGAGCACTCGCGGAGTGCATGCGCAGAATCGAATGAGCTGTGTAGCTATCGGCCCCAGGGATCTGCGTGATCAAGTATGTGGCCAATGCTCTCACCCGTGGCCGACTTTGAAACCCTTGTCTTGTACAAGTAGTCGCTCCCGAGATTCCGGAGGTCATCTTGCCCATCCCCTTATGTCCTTGCTGGGCGGTCATCCCATGGAACATGGGCTTTTCGTGCCACGGCAAATAGGTCAATACTCTCCGTGACACCTGACCCGTATTAGGCGGTGGAAGGCAGTGGGGTGGTTCATGCACTCATTTTGCACGGCATTTCTAGCGACCTGACGCCTCCCTCGTCCACGACAACACGTTCGTCGCACTCGGCGGCAGGGATGTGCGCGAAACAATGGTGACACTCATGATGTCGGTTACCCAGCAGCAATCAATCGCTATGCGAGACTGCGACGCCGAAGAGAATTTCGACGCGCTCGTGTCGGAAGACAACGTCGGCAACACCTGGGAAGGAGACGACCTCCCGAAAGCCTGCACATTTTGGTGTGCCATTGCTATCGGGGCACTCGCTAAGGGCCATCCTATCGAATCTGTAAGTGACGGCGTGCTGGCAGTGTTGCCGATGATTCTGAATCGTTTGGGTTGGTTATGGAGGCCCAGCCCGCACACTTTAGAGTCCAGCGCCCTCCGCAGTTTACAGAAGAAACAGGGTGATGTTTTTTCCCGGCAAATTCGGAAACCCTCAACGTTCGCCCGAACAGGTAGGTTTGTCACAGGAAACCCGATTCGGTGTGGCGCACATGTTTTTTCGCCCTACCCTGGAGATTTTCGCCTTTCGTTCGCAATGGGGAGAAGAGCCAGGAATGCATGTACCCAGGCGAAATCTCGCACGGGGGGGCAGTCATGCTTGGAAAAACCGAACCCTCGAATAAAACCGACTTGAACACAGCTGTCATTTTCGCTGGCAACGAGCAGCTAAAAATGTGGACGTTCCGATGATAGATTGGTGACCCCAATTAACTGCCCTGTCCTGTAAACGACGATCATGGGCTGAGACTACTGGCAACGGGGCGGAGGGTGACATAATTTGGTACCCCTCCGGCCTGCGTGCTTCACACGGACAGTCGTAGTAGTCGTGACGATGGATTCACATTCCTTTCGCGACAAATGCTGCTGTACCGTGGTGCGGTCAGCATGACGTCAGAGCTCCCGGAACAATTTGTTCGGAAATCCCCCTTTCCTTGCAGTGTGGAAGACACCGATTGCGAGACAGTAGTGAAACCAATTAGAAACCTGGGTAAATAGTGAGTGCGACCTTTCTTCGGAAGTCGCGGAATATGATGTCCACGCCTTTCGTGCGGATTGTTTCCCACGCTCTTCCCCACCCATTCGAAAGTCCGCAACAGTTTACTGAGCGTCGCCTTCTGCAGTATATCCTCTTGCAAGGCATGCCTATGGCGAATGACAAGCCTGTCCCCGACGTGTGTTTTGAAGACGGCGAGCTATTTCCGACGAGCGAAAGAAGCGTTGGCAAGATACTCAGGCCCGACAAACTTCGAGGTGGCAAAGTGAGTGAGTTCAACGGCGTCCGTAGCGAATTCCTCTCGAGCAGACGCATCATTTGGTCAACTTCGCACCGCGCCTGGGCTGCGACCAAGTTGCACCAAGTAGCGCCTTGCCAACGGCAGCCTCGTCGATCGAGTATTGCTCGCGTCGCTCAAATCACCTTGTTCATAGCTATCAATTATTTCCCTTCCACGTCTGTTTCAGGGCGTGGACGATACTGGCGTACCTGCACGGCTTCGTAGGAGACATGGTGAGCAGACGCAATGTAATGTCTTACGGCCATCCTGTGCGAAACTCGTATCATCGATGTTTCGCTCGGCGAATAACACCTTCGGCAGGGCATCTCAAGTCTAAAAGCTGCAGCTTCACTTTGTTAGCGCGTGGCATGGCACGTTTTCAGTCGAAACACAGCTTGGTGAATGTTGACCTTCCCCACCTGCCAACCTGCCGACCACCCAGGAAACGTTTCACGAGTATCTGGCACTCTCGGACAGCTTCGTACATGACTCCGCCAGAGGGTCACGAGATTCGCTCCCAGTGGTGAGAATCGTTGGATGGGTGGGACCTGTCAGAGGAAGGCAATTTGCCCTTTCCTCGCTCATACACGAACGGATGCCTTAAGTGAACCGGCGGGCCCTTGCATCACATGCAGCCGGCTTGTGCCTCGACCGCTCCGATAAACAGTTGGCGCGATGACCAAACGTCTTTTGCTGTTGTTGGCCGTGACGTTTCTTCTTCTCGCCAGGGGTTCCCCGAGGTTGTCAAGCATGGAGAAACGATCAAACTCTTCACTGGGACTGCAGAAGCCGAAGAGGTCGAGTCGCTCCTTGCCCAAGAAGTTTCTTTTCCGGGGGTACGTTGATGCGTGTGCAGCCTTAAGAGTCCCCATTTCCAACTGATTGCATATGTACATATGTACTGCAACACAGATCGAGCTTACAGTAGTGTAGTGTGCTACAACTCATGGGCAAATCAATCACTCTATTGAGTTTTGAGCACGAGTTACGGGCCGCTTTATATCACTGTCTGGTGCTGGCTGAGCCTCTCCGCGTTTCGCGCATCGGGGTAAAGGGGCTCGCGGTATGACCAAGTTCACCTCAACCCAGCAATGTCTGCGCACGTTTGTCCCACCGGGTGCACACTTGCTGCCACTCTCGCACGTTACAGGCGTGCGAAGTCGCAACCGAGGCGCACATCTGTCGATATATCATGCAATATCACAGGGCGATTGAAATTAGCATCCAACAACTTGTACGCACGACGGACGACACAGCGTATGTTGGAGCGGATGACGCGCGTCATACCGACGATGGTGCTGCGAAGGGGTCGAACTTCGGCGATAGAGTAGGCGGAATTTGTTCCCTCGCCCGCCTTCCACATGGCGGCGAGCTTATCTGTGACGTTGTGGAAGGGATCCAGCTTCAATTCCCAGGGTTCGCACATCTTGAAGACGCGGTGGAGAGGTGAGGAACTTTTTTTTTTTTTTTTGTCGGCTCATGAAACATGTCTAGCTTGAGGCTGGTACTTTCTTTTGTAACCTCTGCCCGCCGGCCACTCCCTACACGGTATGATATTTTCCATTCACTCACAATGGCATGCGTTATCCTGTACTTGTTGCCTGCTGTCGTCTTTCCCAACGGTTTATTGCCCGAACCGTGGGGTTTGTCAACCTACCCGGGGTATTGGACCGCGGAAAAAAAACGGTGATTCCACCAGACCCGATATTCGCCCGGGTGTTGGCGGCCTCATCATCAACGGGTGAGACAAGTACCGTAAGAATGCGGGTCTTGGCACAGTGTGCGGCCGTCTGTTAAAATGTTTTCTTTCTCGGGTTTCTATCGCACAGAGGTGCCAAGACGCCGATACGTGCCATGTACCCGATTCCTGTGCGGAACATGAAATATTTTTTTTGTCCTGAAAGTATGACGCACACCCCGTGCGATGACCCCCACCAGTGCTGTATTCTGAATATATACAAAGCGGCGATGTGGGTTGTTTTGAACACGCAACCCCGTGCCAAGACTCCGATGAGTGCGATCCTGAACAAATCACAACACACACACACCAGCACTTCGTGTGCAGTACTGCAGCATCAGGACCATAACATAACGAACACAGACACAACAGCACACCAGCACACCAGGACCAGTTGGTAGGCTGGCGCTAGAACATTTTGGCTGCAGCGGGGTATTGGCCAGTGGAGGAGAGGTTTGGTTCGGTGCCACGAACGAACAAGTACGTAGTGGCCTACGGGAGATGTACCATTTTTCCTGCCAGTCCTTGGCCAGGTATTCGTGTTGTTTCCAGGTATCCTACCTATTCTTTGAGTAGTACCGCAATTGGTTATGACCCTTTGGTCTCATATGGTTTGTACGCGTTCTTGGTTGATTGAGTGGAAACCGTTTGCTGATTCCGACAATAATCACATCGTTGAACAAAAAGGCGGTTCTAGAAATACTAAAACATCACTTGCACATGAGCAACGTTACGATTCCAAAGTACAGCAGTGGAGCCCATGATTCAAGCTACCTTGGCACAGTAGTGGCCCGCGACAGGTACCCCGCTAGAGGTATCGGGGTCTCCGCACACCCCTGTGCGAAGTGAACTATACTTGTGCGACAATCAATTCAGTCCCTTGGAACCCTGAATTTTTTCCGCACCCCCTGCAAGACCCCGGCCTGTGCGATGTACGGACCCGTGCCAAGACCCGCATTCTTATGGGAATGTATCAGAATGCCTCTCTTGCTAATTTCGCGTGTTCGTGGGCCTCTACCGCTTCAGGAGGTGGATCAGTTCTGATGCCCAAAACATGGACGGAGCTTGGGGTGTACTCCTGCGGAAATGGATGATTTGGATCGCTTAGAGTTATCTTTGGCATTGGCCATCACGGAACACGAACATAGCAACCGCCGTGGCCGCTTCAGTCAACAGAACTGCAGCGGATGGAATGGAGGCATGACACTAAAACCTGTCTAACTGTTGTTGAACTTCTATCTTTCTTCAACCGTTCCGCATCAATCAGGACCCTGTTCTTTGACAAAACGGTTAGCGGGGATACCAAGGGCGCACTGGAGAGACTAGAACGCTGTGTGGAGGTCTTTGAGGGATTCCCTGGATTAACTCGCTTCGCGATGGGGTGAGTAGCATCCCTACCATTCTCCTTGTATCATATGTGCCTAATACACATACTGCAAATGCGTGCTGTTCATGTGCATTTTGGTTGGCGAGGGACCAGTGAAACACAGTCTTTTGACGTTCTGTGACTGTTATACTTGATATCCTTCACGCGTCCGTCGCTTCTTGCGTGTATTTTCTCTAAAATGAGCAGAGGGCTCTTTCTTTTGTGTTGGACCCTCGAAAGCATTCCGCGAGAATGTTGACCTATTCGTTTGCCCCCACCCTTGATCTACCCTCTTCATCGCGGTAAGAAATCACATGGCACATGTCATGTTGTCGGTGGCTGCAAGCATCGGCGACTCTAGGGATGGCGGGCTGTACGATCGGCTCCGGAACGCTTGCAATCTTACGCGGCCCCCAGGCTCGTTGGCGTTTCCGCCCTTGGAGGAATGGCAAGGGATATCAGCGTTTTGCGACAATGTCCCGTGCAGGTATGCGTATATGAATCTGAGTGGCACACAGTTGTCGGTGGGCTGATTGGTCAATGCTGTAGAGGTCTTGGCATTGTCCACCTGCGGTGACGTAAAAACATTGGTCAATAAGGTCAGGCTATCGCAAGCCGTTTTGTTTCGCTTACTGAGGCGATGGCCGACCGATGATGCCTTAAGAACCCTCCCGGAAGGAGGAATCGTGTTCACCTCTAGTTCCGTAACCCCCCATGCCTTCTTCCATGCGTCACTTTGTTCAGGTCAATTGAAGCTCTTTTCGCAAGACGAAAAGCAGACTTACCGCCTACGGCGCCCTTGGAAGACATCAAGGTGCTCAGACCGGAGAGCTTACAGAGCATTGGCAATGTGAAGGAATACCAAGCCTCTTCGACTTCACCAAGTGCGTTGCGCACCCCTTCGGCAATCGAAACGTTCCTGGCAGTTGTGGGAGAGGCTCCACAAGGATGTGATGGAGCCATGGACACTCTGTTTGAGGAAGACGTCTTGCTGGCAGAAGGTTCAACATCCCCGTCGCTCGTCAATTCTCGACTTGAAGCGGTCGGTGATGCTGCTGAGGACCCTACCTGCAGCGATGAAGGCGTATGGCCGGCTGAAGCTGAAGAGGTGCTACCCTCGCACGCGATTGATGAAGACGCACAGGACCATGTCATTGCGGCGGAAGACTGGTTCGACGTAATACACGCTATGTTGGCGTCTAGTGACGCGAACAACGGGACCTGCGGTTAATCTGCCTTGTTTCCATTCTCAATTTTGGTTGACGGACGGGTCGGCGCACCGCAGGGTCGATTCCCTGTTTAAACCTTGTAACGCGAGCGGAGCACGTTGTCACATTATTACATAGGTATGTAGGAGAGAGGTAGTTAAATGGTGGTGCTCGTCCGCCCGGACCGAACGGCCAATGAATCTCATTGTACGACGATAGCCAGGATTTGGGAGGGGGGTCCTTGTTTGCGCGAATTCCGACTTGCTGAGAGCTAAAGCTTGTACGTTCTTCGCTTTAGGGGTCATCAACATTTGTGGCAGGTTTTCTCCCTGAAGGCAGGAGGAAGCTGGATCCGACATGTGTGTGGGCAAAGCGAAACAAAAATTCTGTGAATTAACCCACCTGCTTCATTGGATGCACTCCCGGTCCTCTTTTCCACGTGGATGGGAGACGAAAAACCTGGGTAACCTGGATCCGGTGCTTGCTTGGAGAAATTGTGCGAATTAATGATATCGAACCTTGTTTCGGCTCATGTATAAATTGGTGAGATGAGATGGAGTCATGCGCAGCGTACAGTTTTGAGCCGGCCCTTTGTCTCGCCCGAACAATACGCTTCCGTGGGTCTGCGTCACCGTTTCACGGTTGGGGCAACACAGCCAGCTTTGCGATCAGGACAGATTTCTCAGTTCCACCTTCTTTGTGGTGTACCGATGCGCATACAGATACCTCTACAGATAAGAGCGCAACCCCAAAAGACAGGCGGTGGCTGCAAGGTAGAGCGTATTCAAGCAGGTGGGGTACCGTCCAACAACAGTTTTCGATGTTGTAGATCCAGGGCGGGGGGCACAATGTGATCGACACTTTCGCCGCCTTGGTGATGCCCTTGCACATCCTCTTTCGAAAAAATCCAGGGCTGGTTGTCTTCGGTGGTAACGGTTTTTCATGTCGGCATCATTTATTTCCCGCGTTTAAGAAACCACGGAACAATACTGTATTTTTTGGGCGGTAGTTGGCCACCACGGCACAGAGTACAGTATTTTTTGGGCGGTACCTGGCCACCACGGTAAATTTCGTACGTACGGTAACTGGGTCACTACGGTAATTCTCTTGTACGATAACCAGCCACCACGCACGGCGGTAATGCACAGAAATGTGCATTGTTTTACGGTAACTGGTCGCCACGGACGGTATTAACCGACGTCGGGCCTTGTTTCGGTTTGCTTTCGTTGAAGTGTTGTCACCGCACAACAAACATACACGACACATACATTCACCGGGCGTCACGTCCGTCAACAAACGGTCGCATAAAGCGAAGAGTGAAAACCAGACGCGCCACGGTGTTATGAGCTAAACGAGAAAACATTATGCCCGTGTATCCCCATGACACCTTCGTCCTCCTCGTCCATCCTCTCTCCCGTCCGAGCATTGGCATCGATCAGTAATGAAAACACACACAGAAAGACTACCCATTCGAGATGTACCCACAGTCGAACGGGATGTGGTGGAGTCTTTTCAGTGAGTGGAGGGAAACCGGCTGGGTACTGGACGTATTTCGAGTCTTTTAAAGTCTATACACTGATGATTTATACCAGGATGATAATATACACGCACTCTTTGGAGGGAATCCTCCGCACGAGACTGCTGTCAAGTGTTCTCCAGAACTCTGTCTTGCTGTCGTCAGCGGCGACCTCGCTTGGGGCATACGCAGCAACGAAGTTGACAGCTCCGCGGTAGCCCGTCATCTCAAACCTCATGGCGATGAGGCGTTCGTAAACATAGTTTATGGTGAAAGTGGAGGTCTTGCACAGAGTGACTTTTTAACTACCGCCTATTCCCACATTATGGATAGATGTCAGAAAAGCGGCGAAGCGGACAAATCCCTGACGTCCGTCCGTACTTGATGGTCGCGGGTGTGAGATACAGACAGTTACCGAGCAGAGATCCCGTGTGATCGCAAGGAGTGCGTGAGATCCAGTCAAAGAGTGAAGCGACTGAGCGATGGACCTCGTGTAACGGGAAGAACCGCAAAGGAGTGCGTGAGTTCCAGACAGACAGCGAGCGAACGGACAGAACGACAGCCCATGTGTGATCGGAAAAGAAGCGGAAGCATCCAGTCTTCTATCTGAAAAGAGTCCGCTGTGTGGAATTACGATCCAGAGCTGAGCTGGGAGATATGAAAGAGAGAGACAAAGAGAGAGAGAGAGAGAGAGAGAGAGAGAGAGAGAGAGAGAGAGAGAGAGAGAGAGAGAGAGAGAGAGAGAGAGAGAGAGAGAGAGAGAGAGAGAGAGAGAGAGAGAGAGAGAGAGAGAGAGAGAGAGAGAGAGAGAGAGAGAGAGAGAGAGGAGAGAGAGAGAAAGAGAGACAGACGGAGACAGTGACAGGGCGAGAGACAACCAAACGCCGAGAAGGTGCGTGGGAGAGAAGGTGAGTGGAACGAAATTGAATCGAAGTGAGAAAAGGGTCAAACGATGATTGTGAGAGGGCCTGAACAATTGGAAAATACGTTCTGTGAGAGCCCGAAAAAACGGAAAATAATGTGGAAAAGAGGGTTTCGTCCTCGACAAACGTTGGGGAGATTGTACCTTTATCAAGGTGGTCTCCACATTACCCCCCCCTTTTTCGAGACTTCTTCTTGTTTGCTAGGCAAGAGAAGTCTTCTTGGGGTAACCAGAACCCGACCGGCTGGCGGCGAGTAGAACCACCTTTTTTCCAACAATCTTCTGTGCGTGTGTGCGGGTGCTGCATGCACCACTTCCGCCACGCGTTGTCAGAAGTTTCGAGTTCGAGTACTGTGTGTGTGTGTGTTACGAACGTGTGTGGTGGCTGTGATACGGGGGGTCCCCCACCGTAGTATTAGCCTGACCGAACGCCGCTTAACTTCACCACAGATGATCTCTTCGTCGACGCCATTGTGGAAAAGAGGGTTTCGTCCTCGACAGACGTTGGGGAGATTGTACCTTTATCAAGGTGGTCTCCACAAAAAAAGAAAAAAGACAGCTCCAAAAAAGAACCGTAAGAAATGGCCTGACAACAGGAAGCACACCGCAAGAAAAAACAACTTACATCCATAGATATGTGACGTGTACCGCCCTCACGACGTCGGGACAAATTCTTTCTCTTGTCTGTCTGGCGCACCCGCTTACTTAGCGGAATACGTTGCGATCATCGACATCATATCTTCGCGTTCGGGTCTGTCTGTCTGCAGCAGAACGTGTACCCTCTTTCCTGTGCTGCGTCTGTCGGCTGTCTTTCTTTGTGTGTGTGTCTTTACTAGTAGCATCGACCGCGCCGCTAAGCGCCTGTCTGTCTGTGTGTGTATGTTTTGATTATTGACGACATCGACCGCGCTAACCGGCTCACAAAAGAAAAGACGCCAGTCTCAGTGCGTCAGTAAACAAACATAATAATAACTGGGACCCGTGAGGGAGCGGCATGGGGGAGGCTAAACTATTCTCAGGGTGAAAGAGACAAAAACAAACGTTAGCAACAGAAGAGAACTGCACGTGTACCAAGGCTGCTACCTTGCACTCGAGTTCGTTATGGAGTGCTTCCACCACCATAACTCTCATCGCCTCTTTTACAGTTATTCTTGGGCAGTTCTTCGCTTCTAGTCCTCCTGCGTCGCTGGTTGTGGGCAAGGTCGTCTGGCTCGAAACTCTTGGTCTCTTCCACACTCACTCCATGATTCCCTCCTGCATCGTTGTTGTTTTGGCCGTCCCTTCGTCCTTCCGTTCCCTCTCCTCCTCCTTCGTCGCTACCAAATGAATTCCCCCCATTGCCATCATCATAGTCTGAACTACTACTGCGATTCCAACCTATCCGCCGTGGTGGGAATTGGTCAATCAGCAGTCCACGACGTTTAATAACATCACGAGTTCGTACTGACAGAAAACGAGCCAGCTTGAAGGCAAACCGCCTCCGATTCCTGTTGGTGTGATATTCCTTCAGGCGAAGCAAGGCTGTTTCATCGTCGAAATTCTCCTTGCAAAAGGCTTCGTGTGCTACCGAAGATCTCAGCCGTCCACGCGGAATATGAATGGAACGTCACGGAATTTCTAACTGATACAACTGTTGTTGATCCATTAGCAGACACGCAACGCGATGGCTGCATCAACCGAGGTACTCGACATCAAAACAACAGGAATCCACTTGGTGTTTCTGTGCGATAGACGGGGTCTTACTGTTCTTATGGTGATGTACTCTGCGGTAACTCGGAAGCACGGGAATTAATTGCGGGTTTTCGCGGTAATTTTCTGTACGGTAATGGGAAAACTCAATTTGTTCGTTCATTTGGGCGTTACTAATGGTAATTCTCATTTTTCCTGGGGCCACGGGAAACAGTAATTACCGCGCAGAAATTAAACGAAGACAGCCCCGAAAATTCATCATCTAGGACGGGCACCCACTCGCTTGCTAGCAGCGTTGTTCATGGCAGAAGGATAGCACGCTGTGCGGCTCTATGATGCAAAAATACTGTAGTACGTATATGCGCCAAACAGTTTAGCATCCCTATGGAGCGTTCTCAAGTGGTTTGCGGTTGCGTTTGGAACCAACAGAGCCATGCCAGCGGACACGGCGAAGAGTTCAGGCATAATCGTTTCACTAGTTTCTCTCTATAGGTTGACGTGTCAATCCGCAACAGCCCTATACCCACAGCACAGCATAGGGGGCGTGCTTCCACCACACACATCAAAGAACTAAACTTATAACGATAGTAACGATTTGCATGCCCTCTGCCAGACTCTCTCCCATGCATTCTGTAAAATTGAGCACGACACATCACGCCATACATTATCTACGGACACAAGAGAGAGGTGGCGACACGGGTTCACACCACCAACGTCAATCGTGAAGAACTCAAGCGAATGCAGCTCTTTCCGGTGCTTCGCAAAAAACATACATACTACAAGAAGCACAACAGCAGGTGCACATCGCAGGGGGCCTATGGCCCATGCCTATCACCCCCTTTCTAGTGGTCCACGAACAAAAATCAACGAACCTCTGCACCATGAAGAACACAGCAAATGGAACGAACACCAAATGACACAAACAAAATTGTTTCCCCGTGCTCGTCCTCTGGGCGCAATCAAGTAAAAGAAAACACACCACAATTCCAGTATGCGCGACGCCCGGTGTATTTCATCT